AAATCAAAATTTTGAGAGTAAAAAAATTCATAGACATTTAAAACTCAGTAGATAGGATCAACTGTAGTCTAAAAACAGTTGAAGAAAAAAATAACAGCTAAGAAGACTACCAGACAGAAAAATTAAGAAGTTTTTTAAAGAGTAAAAACAAGATTAAGAAACTCAGAGGACAGCTTAACAGCCTTCCATAAAATGGCTAACATAAGTTCTACAAATAGAGATTTCAGTATATTAGTCCATCATCATGCTGCTATAAAGGACTGTCCCAGACTGGCTAATTTATAAAGGAAAGAAGATTAATTGACAGTTCTGCATGGCTGGGGAGGCCTCCAGAAATTTACAATTATGGCAGAAGGGGAAGCAAATACGTCCTTCTTCAGATGATGGCAGGTGGAAGTGCAGAGCAAAGAGGGGAAGAGACCCTTATAAACCATCAGATCTCATGAAAACTCACTCACTATCACAATAACAGCATAGAAGTAACCACTTCCATGATCAAATTACATCCCATAACATGTGGGTATTATGGGAACTACAATTCAAGATGAGATTTGAGTTTGAACGCAGACAAACCATATTATTCAGAGAATACCAAAAAGCAATATTCAAGATGATTCAGGTAAAAATTTTCCAAAGTTTGAGGAATTTGTTTTTAATTTTAAATATTTAATTTTTGCAGGTCTACAGTGGATGTCTATATTTATGGGGTATATGGGATGTTTTGACACAGATAAACAATGTGTAAATCACAACAGTTTAAATGGGGTATCCATCAACATAAGCATGTATCCTTTGTCTTACAAATAATCCAGTTATTTATTTTAAAGTGTACAATTAAGTCATTATTGACTATAGTCACCTGTTGTGCAATCAAATAGTAGCTCTTATTCATTCTGTCTAACTATATTTTTGTACCCAGTAACAGTCCTGCCAACCCCTCAGATTCCTACTATACTTCCCAGTCTCTGGTAATTATTCTATGTTCATGAGTTCAATTGTTTTAATTTTTAGCTCCCACAACCAAGTGAGAAAGTTTGTCTTTCTATGCCTGATTTATTTTGCCTAACATAATGATCTTGAGTTCTATCCATGTTGCTGCAAATGACAGGATCTCATTATATTTTATAGCTGAACAGTACTCCACTGTGTCTATGTCTCACATTTTCTTTATCCATTTGTCTACTGATGAAAACTTAGCTTACTTCCATACCTTGGCTATTACATACATAGATGTACCTGGAAGGAAGGCATGGAATCCAGGAAACAGAAAAATGTTAGAAAATTATTTAACTCTCGTTTTTTAATAAAAGCTGAATTTTCATCTTAAGAGATAAGATTAAAAAACATATATTCAGTATCCAAAATTTAGAAAACACAAATAAGCAAAAGACACAATTTAAAAATCATCCTCAGGCCAGGTGCAAAGTCTCATGCCTATAATCCCAGGTCTTTGGGAGGCAAAGGCAGGAAGCCCACTTAAGCCCAAAAGTTTAAGACCCGCCTAGGCAACGTAGTGGGACCCTATCTCTACACACATACATAAACACACACACACACACACACACACACACACACACACACACACATCTTCATTCCTAGTGAAACAGGAAAGTTCCCAGATTACCCTCACAGGACGTGCAACAGGGGTGTGACTCACCTGTGTAGTAATCCTGCAGTTCAGACCCCTAGGAGTGGCATGCAGATGTGTAGGTATAGAAGCCAGGGCGAGTGCTTTGGGCTCTCAGTCCCTCAGTAGCATCTAGAGGTGGGTGTCTGTGACTCCCAAACCCCAAGTGGGTATGTGTTACAGTGTGCTCCTTTAGCTTTGCTACCTACAGATGGCTTATGTGTTAATCAGCTCAATGGACCCTCTATCTTACTGTAAGGCCAAGGGGCCAGTGTGACAGTCTTCTGTATCCTGAGCTCTTGCCCAGTGTCCCAGAAGAATCACATCATACCACATTAAAGGAAAAATGCAAGATTTAATTGAGGGATGGAGGTGGCTCTCAGCAAGATGGATGAGAGCTGAAAGGGGCAATGGAGTGGGAAGATGGTCTTCCCCTGGAGTCGAGCCATACAGCAGCTGGACTCTTCTCTGATCGCCCCCAGCCAAACTCCCCTTCGCATCCAGACATCCATCTTCTTCTGTCTTTCTCTGCTACATCATTCCCATGGCTGGTCTCCTAGTCTGCTGGTCTCAACCTTCAGCTTCTTCTGTGTGTGCCTGCTAAGTTCTCAGGTTTATATCGGCACAGGATGGGGGGCGTGGTGGGTCAGAGTGGTCATGGAAAATGCAACATTTGGGCACAAAAGCAGGAGTGCCTGTTCTCATTTAGGTCTGTGGGCACAGGCCTAAGGATGGAGCCTCACCAGGGAACCTGCCCTTCTCTACCCAGCACTTTCCTGCCCACCTCCCATATCACTGGCAAACAGAGATAGCCACTGTTAATATTAGTAAAAGTAGCTCTGGTATTATCCTATGCATATTTTTATTAAAATTATATTATGTAATTTGAATTACATGTATTCCTTTTCCTATTTCACACAAATATCTCTCTGTTATTCTATAGCTCTTGTTTAAGAGCTAGACAAATTATTTAAAATACTTGATTTAATTAATTAAGCAATGCACTCTTCTTTTTTCACATTTTTACAGGGCTTTCATTTGTTTTAGATAAACTGAACCTCCATTTGGGCAGGTCTTCTAAAAACCCACAAATAAATTGTCTTTTCGAAATCAGAATGTTTCCTCCGCTATTGCTTAGCATACCTGAAGATTATAAATCTAAAGTACAAAAATGTTAAGGACACTGAAAAAAAAAGCTCGGTTTCATCGAGTTTTAGCTTTTAAAATAATGCAACTAGAGTATTTGATTTTGAATTTCATTATGAGCAATATTAGTAGAAGTGGATGAACACTTCAACTTGACTGTGTAATTTATTTTTACAAAAATCTCTTTAGAGATCCCTGTCTAGTCAGCAAATAATTGCTCTAACTTGGATTTTAATATTAGCACTGAATGATTTATGTACATTAAATAATATGATTCTCACTAACCATTTATGAGCTTAGAATGATTATCTCCCTTCTGTGCATAATCACACTTCAGGGAAGAAAGGTTAAGTGGTTTGCCTAAGATCACTCAGCCAGTCAACGGATTATCTCAAAATATGATCCTTAAGTCTTTAAATCATTAGACTCGGCTGGCCTCAGCAATACTTGAGAGGCATAAAGGATATGCACTTAGTCTCTTCCACAAACGATTTATGTGGCATAATATCTCATTTGTTTTTAGGGGTTTTTTTTTTCTTGTGACACAATTTGGTCTGTAAGTAAACATGAGACATCATTAAAATAAACATGATATGAATTAACATGTGGAAAAAATTCTGGGAGACTTAGCAGAACAATTTCCAACATAGTACCTAAACCAGGCAGATAATATAAACTATCATTTGTGGAAGGGTCAGAGGGAGAAAAGAAAGAATAACAGAAAGCAAACAGAGTAGAATAGCTTCCTTTGGTGGAGCTTCGGTTCCAGGTTAGATTTCAACAAGCTCTGAATGAAACAAGCAGAGATCTTGTGCGTTCCCTGAGAGCAATTCTCTCCTACAACACACAATTCACACTAAATGGGAAACTGCAAAATTCAAAAATTTTAACTGTGACCTGATCAGACTTAGAAATGACCTGGGTAAATTAGAGTGGAAGCCAAAAAGGTAATGGAATGATTTACTGGAAGGACAGTATCAGATTCGTATTACCTAGCAGGCGGGGAGAAGGAACCAGCCCACAGCTGTGCCTTTAAGAGCAGTAAAGGAAAGTAGGAGCTTAGGATTTGTTTTTGTTTTTGTTTTTTTCATTCAACTAAGTCAACAAAATTATTTTAAGAAAAAGTAGTACTAAACTATTTAACCAATAATTGTTTAATAAAATTGACTTGTTGTTTTAAAAATAAAATGACCAGCTTCTCCTGGTCTGTGAGGAATGGCTCTGGTTTTAAAACTGAAAGTCCCACGTCCTGGGAAACTCCTCAGGCCCAGGCAAACAAGAAAGTCTGGTTAAAATAAAAAATAAAAATTAAGTGTGATCGTTGTTCAAAATATGAAAAATACAAATAAGGAAAAATGAGAAATTAAATCATCTACACTCTCGGTATGCAGAAACAGCCACTGTTAATCTCAGTAAACATACTTGTATTATCTCTACGAAATAAACTTCATGCAATGCAAGTTACTATTGCTACAATATAGCAGGTGCCAGGGTAATATTGTTCGGATTTTCTTTAACATTCTAAATAAACTGTTTTAAAAGTATGTATGCCAAGTGCCTTACTATAGGTACCTTTTCATATGATTGCATCATTTTATAACCTCTGATAAATTTTCAGTTGTGTGTTAACCATTTCTGCTATTCATTCTATAAATTCCCTTAACCTTATACTTTTCTTCATCTCTAAGACACAGTACAAGCTGGTACATTAACAGCATGCTTTCTGAGTTCTGATTACTGTATCACAGTGTAATCTCACTGCTCAGGGGTATGCAGCCTTTCATTTCTTATTCCATTTCTATTTCCCTGTAGGCCAGGGAGGGGAGATTTCTCCCTGGGAGTTTAGCATCATTTAACATTGATGTTACTTGTCCAACAATCTCCTGCATGAGTGAGACCACATGTCAACCACAGTTAGCACTTAAAATTTATCAATACCTACTTATATACAAGAAGCTTTTTTTGTTTTGTGGGAGGTTTAACTTCCTGAAAGCATTCCAAGTCCAGTTTTAAAGTCAGTAGGAGAGAAGGAAAATAAAATGTAGTGTTAGAAAAGAAATACATCTTTTATCTACTTGAAAATGTCCACACTTGGCTGGAGCCATATTTCAGGATTGTTGCAATCCAGAAAGTACCTCTCTTAAGAAGTACTTACTATCCACGTGTGAAGTTATCCCTTTCTTGCCAATAACACACATAATAATGGCCTCTTCTGTTTTGTGTTTAGCTACACAATGCCTGTTGGGAGTCCTGGAGTTGTTTGTATGATTGAAATGACTGCAGATGGAAAACCTCCAGCACAGAAGAAAGACACAGAGACTTCCCATGCCTCTCAGGTAGGTATGCAGATATCCAGTTCCAAACACTAATTGTGCCCTCAGTATTTCAAATAAGTATATTTTTATGTTACTAAGCAGTAATCGTTGGTTTTGAAGAGCATCTTTATTTCTCCCTTCATTTCATTATTTATCCAGTCTACATTCAGGAACCAGTTGTTCACTTTCCATGAAGTTGTATGGTTTTGAGTTCGTTTCTTAATCCTGAGTTCTAATCTGATTGCACTGTGGTCTGAGAGACTGTTTGTTATGATTTCCTTTCTTTTACATTTGCCGAGGAGTGATTTACTTCCAATTATGTGGTCAACTTTAGAGTAAGCATGATGTGGTGCTGAGAAGAATGTATATTCTGTGGATTTGGGGTTAAGAGTTCTGTAAATGTCTATTAAGTTTGCTTGGTCTGAATCTGCATTGAAATCCTGGATTTCCTTGTTGATTTTCTGTCTCATTGATCTGTCTAATATTGACAGTGGAGTGTTAAAGTTTCCCACCATTTTTCTGCAGGAGTCTAAGTGTTTTTTTAGGTCATTAAGGACTTGCATTATGTATCTAGGTGCTCCTGTACTGGGTTCATATATATTTAGGACGGTTTGCTCTTCTTGTTGTATCGATCCTTTTACCATTATGTAATACGCTTTTTTTTCTCTTTTGATTTTTGTTGGTTAAAATTCCATTTTATCAGAGACTAGAATTGCCACCCCCACTTTTTTTTTGCTCTCCATTTCCTTGGTAAATCTTCCATCCCTTCATTTTGAGTCTATGTGTGTCTTTGCACATGAGATGGCCTTCCTGAATACAGCACACCAATGGTTCGTGGCTTTTTATCCAATTTGCCAGTCTGTGCCTTTTGATTGGGGCATTTAGTCCATTTACATTTAATGTTAATATTGTTATGGGTGAATTTGATCCTGTGATTTTATTACTGGTTGGTTGTTTTGCCCTTTGGTTGGCATGATTTCTTCATTGCATTGTTGGTCTTTACCATTTGGTTCTTTTTTGCAGTGGCTGGTACTGGTTTTTCCTTTCTGTGGTTAGTGCTTCCTTCAGGAGCTCTTACAGGGTGGGTCTGGTAGTGACAAAAGATGTTCTTCAAAACCAATGAGAACAAAGACACGACATACTAGAATCTCTGAGACACATTCAAAGCAGTGTCTAGAGGGAAATTCATAGCAATAAATGCCCACATGAGAAACAGGGAAAGGTCTAAAATCGACACCCTATCATCAAAATTGAAAGAGTTAGAGGAACAAGATCAAAAAAACTCAAAAGCTAGCAGAAGACAAGAAATAAGTAAGATCAGAGCAGAACTCAAGGAGATAGAAACACAAAAAAACCCTTCAAAAAAATCAACAAGTCCAGGAAGTGGTTTTTTGAAAAGATCAACAAAATAGATAGACCTCTAGCCAGACTATTAAAAAAGAAAAGAGAGAAGAATCAAATAGATGCAATAAAAAATGATAAAGGGGACATCATCACCAATTCCACAGAAATACAAACTACCATCAGAAATTACTACAAACAACTCTATGGACACAAACAGGTAAATCTGGAAGAAATGGATAAATTCCTGGACACTCGCACTCTCCCAAGACTAAACCAGGAAGAAGTTGAATCCCTAAATAGACCAATAACAAGGTCTGAAGTTGAGGCAGCAATTAATAGCCTACCAACTTTAAAAAGCCCAAGTCCAGACGGGTTTACAGCCAAATTCTACCAGAGTTACAAAGAGGAGCTGGTACCATTCCTTCTGAAACTATTCCAAACAATACAAAAAGAGAGAATGCTCCCCAACTGATTTTGTGAGACCAACATCATCCTAATAAACCGGGCAGAGACATAACTAAAAAAGAAAACTTCAGGCCAATATCCATGATGAACATCGACGCAAAAATCTTCAATAAAGTACTGGCAAACAGAATGCAACAGCAAATCAAAAAGCTTATTTGTCATGATCAAGTAGGATTCATCCTGGAGATGCAAGGCTGGTTCAACATTTGCAAGCCTATAAATGTAATCCATCACATAAACAGAACCAAAGACAAAAACCACATGATTATCTCAATAGATGCCGAAAATGCCTTCAAAATTCAAAAGCCCTTTATGCTAAAAACCCTCAATAAACTAGGCATCGATGGTACATATCACAAAATAATAAAAGCTATTTATGACAAACCCACAGCCAGTGTCATAGTGAATGTGCAAAAACTGGAAGCATTCCCTTTGAAATCTGGCACTAGACAAGGATGCCCTCTCTCACCACTCCTATTCAATATAGTATTGGAAGTTCTAGCCAGGGCAATCAGGCAAGAGAAAGAAATAAAGGGTATTCAAATAGGAAGAGAGGAAGTTAAATTGTCTCTATTCACAGATCACATGACTGTGTATTTAGAAGACCCCATCATCTCAGCCCAAAATCTCCTGAAACTGGTAAGCAAATTCAGCAAAGCCTCAGGATACAAAATCAATGTGCAAAAATCACAAGCATTTCTGTACACCAATACCAGACAAACAGAGAGCCAAATCAAAAGTGAACTCCCATTCACAATTGCTACAAAGAGAATAAAATACCTAGGAATACAAATAACAAAGGATGTAAAGGACCTCTTCAAGGAGAAGTACAAACCACTGCTCAACGAAATAGGACGAAAAGAGATGGAAAAACATCCCATGTTCATGGTTGGGAAGAATCAACATCATGAAAATGGCCATACTGCCCCAAGTAATTTACAGATTCAACTCTATCCCCATCAAGCTACAATGAACCTCTTCACAGAACTAGAAAAAAACACTCCAAACTTCATATGGAACCAAAAGAGAGCCCACATAACCAAAAAAAACCTAAACAAAAAGAACAAAGCTGGAGGCATCATGCTGCCTGACTTCAAACTATAGTACAAGGCCACGGTAATCAAAACAGCATGGTACTGGTAACAAAACAGAGACATAGACCAATGAAACAGAACAGAGGCCTCAGAAGCAACACCACACATCTACAATCATGTGATCTTTGACAAACCTGACAAAAACAAGCAATGGGGAAAGGATTCCCTGTTTAATAAATGATGTTGTGAAAACTGGCTAGCCATGTGCAGAAAGCAGAAACTGAATTCCTTCCTGACACCTTGCATTAAAATTAACTCCAGATGGATTAAAGATCTAAACATAAGACCTAACACCATAAAAACCCTAGAAGAAAACCTAGGCAAAACCATTCAGGACATAGGCATAGGCAAGGACTTCATGGCTAAAACACCAAACGCAATGGCAACAAAAGCCAAAACAGACAAATGGGATCTAATTAAACTCCAGAGCTTCTGTACAGCAAAAGAAACAATCATTAAAGTAAACCAGCAACCAACAGAATGGAAAAAAATTTTTGCAATCTACCCATCTGACAAAGGGCTAATATCCAGAATCTACAAAGAACTAAAACAGATTTACAAGAAAAAAAACAAGCAAACCCATTCAAAAGGGGGCAAAGGATATGAACAGACACTTTACAAAAGAAGACATTGATGAGGCCAAGAAACATATGAAAAAATGCTCATCGTCACTGGTCATTAGAGAAATGCAAATCAAAACCACATTAAGATACAATCTCACACCAGTTAGAATGGTGATCATTAAAAAATCTGGAGACAACAGATGCTGGAGAGGATGTGGAGAAATAGAAACACTTTTACACTGTTGGTAGGAGTGTACATTAGTTCAACCATTGTGGAAGACAGTGTGGCAATTCCTCAAGGACCTAGAAATATAAATACCATTTGACCCAGCAATTCCATTACTGGGTATATATCCAAAGAATTATAAATCATTCTATTATAAAGACACATGCACACGTATGTTCATTGTGGCACTGTTTGCAATAGTAAAGACCTGGAACCAACCCAAATGTCCATTATCGATAGACTGGATAAAGAAAATGTGGCACATATACACCATGGAATACTACACAGCCATAAAAAAGGATGAGTTCGTGTCCTTCATAGGGACATGGATGAATCTGGAAACCATCATTCTCAGCAAACTGACACAAGAACAGAAAACCAAACTCCGCATGTTCTCACTCATAGGCGGGTGTCGAACAATTAGAACATGTGGACACGGGAGCATCACATACTGCAGTCAGTCGGGGGTGGCGAGGGGAGGGACAGCTGGGTGGGGAGGATGGGGAGGGATAATGAGGGGAGAAATACCATATATAGGTGATGTGGGGATGAAGGCAGCAAACCACCTTGCCATGTATGTACCTATGCAACAATCCTACATGATCTGCACGTGTACCCCAGAACCTAAATTATAACAAAAAAGCAGTAATCATATTTCTTAATTGAACAGATTCCTTGTAAAAACTCTCAACAAAGCACCAGAAAATTCAACTCATACTTTAGGGATAAATATATTTAATGTTGCCTGTCACCATAAAAGTATCATCAAATTTAACAATAAACTGTTTTCCATTCACACTTTGGATTTAATATATTGTGCTTGATTTAAAAAAGAAAAAAAACAGCTCCAGAGTGGGGAAACATTAGCAAATAGAACAATTTGTTTTAAAAACTTATGTTTTCATAGGATATGATAGTACTTGTGTGTTAAAAAAAAAAAAAAAAAAAAAAAAAAAAAAAAAAAGGTCATTCCCAGTCTTCCAGATGTGAATTGGCCAGAAAATTTCTTTTAGAAACATCCATGAGTCTAAATTAAAAGAAGAGAGAATGTCTGTCCTTCCGGAGACAGGGAAATTTGCTGAATTCTTTCAGTTTTAATGATGTGGTTGGTTACATGCTTCTTAATCTAACTTTATTGCAATACATAAGTTAAAGAATGCCTGGTTCATTTGATCATCATGGAGAATTAATCTGTATAATTAGAGCTCTAATTTTGGTAGACATTAATGCTGCCACTATGCACTGCCTTAATGAATTGGAAATTTCATTTTATTTCCATTTATTTTATATTGTCTCTTTTGAGTATACATAGGCTTCCAAAAGAAGCAC